AGATGGGAAGAGAAGGAAGCAGGACGGAAGGAAAGAAAGAGACAAATTTGGGAGGAGAAGGAAGGAAGGAAAAGAGGGAAAAAAATAAAAGCGGGAGGGAGGGAGGAAAAAAGGGAGGGAGAAAGGAAGGAGCGATGGGAAAAGGAAGAGAAGGAAGCAGGACAGAAGGAAAGGAAGACAAATATAGGGAGAGAGGGAGGAAGGAAAAGAAAGAAAAAGAGGGAGAGAAAAAGAAAGAAAGAAAACAGGATTCTCACTGGGAGAAGAAACACTCAGGTTTTCCAAGGGATTTTGGTGGTGGTGGGACCTTTGTCAATGACCGCAGCTTGTGAGGTGTGTGTGCTTTATTCATTACTTTTATTTCTGTGATTTGTTTTATCCCACTTTTATTACAGGAAGTCCTCCACTTATAACTCTTCATTTAGTGACCGCTCCAAGTTACAACGGCACTGGGGGTGGGGGGAAGTGACTTAGGACCACTTTTCACACTTAAAACGACCGTTGCAAGCATCCCCAGAGGGTCGTGCGATCCGAATTAAGACAGTTGGCAACTAGCTTCCATTTATGACGGCCGCAGCGCCCGGGGTGGTGGTGGCGGCGGGGTCACGTAATCCCCTTTTGCGACCTTCTGACGAGTCAATGGGGGAAGCCTGATTCGTTTAACAACCCTGTTACTGAATTAGGAACTGCAGCGATTCACTTAGCGACTGCGGCAAGTAAAATAGGGCAAAACGCACAACTTACAAGCATTTGTTTAGTGACCGAAGTTGCAATTAGCACTGGGGGGGAGGAGTGACTTATGACCGGTTCTCACCCTTATGACTGTTGCACTTAACAACCATCTTGCTTAGCAACAGAAAGATTAGGCTCAATTACGGTCAGAGGCCAAACCCATTATGAGGTGCAGCGAATCCTTGACAACTCCAATATTTGATCCAGTGGAAGGGCTACCCCTTATCAGCGGCATCTTGGGTAAAGAGTAGGAACGTCCAAGCCGATCGCCTTGTAGTAAGGTCCCATGCAGAAAATCCAACCAAGCCTTGGGGGCGGGTTTGCAACTCTTTAAGTTCTATACCTGCAATCAATTTGGTTTTTATGCGTTTTTTTGGGGGGGTGGGGGTGTTGCACTTCAAGAAGTGAGGGGAGCCGAATGTCAACTCATAAAATATTTCTATGGTCTTTTTAGAGTTGCCAACAGAAAGGGAGGAGGGAAAGGGGTTTGCTTGGAAATCGAAAGTGCATCCCATACATAGTTTTTCAGAGATAGTAACTAGGTGACTGAAGTCTCTGCCGCGCAAAATTCTAACTGGAGAGCATGACTGATGACTCTGGGCTATGGATGTGTCCCATTGGAGAATATGAATTATGATACACCCAGAGAGGTGGGGGAAAACCAGGGTGTCAAGGGTGACAATGAATGATGTGCCTCAGAGTTGGCTGCACCCAAGTAGTGCCGGCATGTTAACTCCCAATAAATTTTTAAGTTTTGGCTCGAGACTCATGGTTTAATTGGGGTAGCT